GAGCTTTTAGATGTTTTTCAGACCTAGATCAGAGTTACACACCTACATTTTTGTCATAGGTGTGATCCATGACATTCAAAACTTCAGTAAAGTCAAACGCTTAAGGTGCCGCCTCAGTTTTGCTTTGGTCCCACTTAAATAGTGTGCATTAAAGATGTTATTCAACATTTTTTAAATGTATATGCCAGTAACTAGATGCAAACCTGTAGAGATCTAGAGATGTAGATTTGACCAATCACCGGTCACCTAAAATTTGGGCGAGGTGCAGCAGTGTGTCTGCGGAAGGGGCGGGGCAACACACACCCAGACGACCTGTTTTCTGAGCATAAACCAGCCTTAACCCAGCGTGACTGTGTCTCCACTCAGTTGCGAGGAGACAGAGACCACCCAGCTTCCAGCGACGGGTTGAACATAGGCTTTTTTTTGTTGCCAAATGGACAAAAAAAGGAGCCAAATGCTGATTTTTAGCCAGTGGATCCATGTTTGAAAAACGTGTTAACCTGCTATTTTCAGTGTGAAACAGGCTTTAGAGTGCTATAGTAGATCTGCTTATCTTTAAAGCTGCACCACCTAAACTTCTACATTAGAATGTTTAATGTTCTTCTGCATACAAGGATTTTATATCACTGTAATGAAACAATATAGAACTGCGCCTCTCTTAACCTTTCTAAGAGGTTAATATGAAATATGTAAAAGTTTGCATTAATTTTGTTCCAGTTTCTTTGCAAGTCCTGTGGCGCTAATGTCCTGCATTGAATGCGTGTCTGCATCTGCAGAGCTATGTAGACCCTAAAGGACTTCTAGTGATGTAGTTTACCCCTTTGATTTACATCTGCAAAGGGATTTTAGTCTGAGACCACTGATCAATAGCCAAGGGTCTGCAACCTTTTCAATTCAAAGATAAATTTCTACAAAAATAAAAAATCTCTATAGCCATCATAAAATGTTTATCAATTTGGGAAGCTTAAGAAATCAAACTTTTTTCTATTTTTTTTTTTTTAGATTTCACAAGCAAAGTAATAATCATTCAAACTTGAAAAGGTGGGAAACAAGCATCTATTTTTGTTGGTGTGCTGCTGTAAATATTTAATGAATATATTACATGAAAACATGCAGAAGAAACAATCTCTTAGAGCCTTAATGATTAAAATCGTTTCTTATTTGCTTCATTAGAGCTACAGGCTGTGGAGAGCAGCCTGATGATGGGATTATCCAACACAGGCTTGAATTCATGAAACTTGTTTCCAATGTGATGATGAGGCAGCAGGACTGAGGGGCCTCATAACTAAACACAGCTCCCATTATTATTTAAGTTTGATTAATGGGAATTATTGTTTTAATCTGAGAGGTTTTTTTTTAAGTTTTACACCTTAAAGTTTACTGGCTGTGGATTTAGAAAAAAATAAGACGTCCAGCAATAATTTAAAAGAAAAAAATATATTTTAATACTGGGGTTATTGTTGTAGAAACATAAGCATGGGCGGCTCTAGACAGGGGCTAACGGGGGCAAGTGCCCCTGTAGATCATGTCCTGGCCCCTGTACTGAAGACATAATACTAAAAGAAATCTAATGAGGATATTCACTGGAACAGACGTGGTTACTGAGGTCCTTTGGATCTATTTCATGTTTTTTCTTTATAAATTCTGTTTTATCATTTAAAAACAATAAGCTGATAGCTTCAGCGGTGTTGAGATAGGATCCCAGTTTTCACCTCCTAAATGTTTTTTGAAAACAAACAAAAAATGCTCTAATTTTTACAGCTGAATTTATCTTTTTTTTTCTATCAGTTCTAATTCAGATTTTATTTTAAAAAAATTGTAATGTTGAACTACATTAAGTCAAGAATATGTAATATTCCTAAATTATTAATGTATATTGACCTAATAAGAAATAGGATTTTAATTAAAGCTCATTGAATAGAAATTTCACTTCATGCAGCTATCTTAATTATGGAGTATTAGGGCCAGGCTAGAGATTTTTTTCCTCTTCTATTTCAAGAATAAAGCCATAAACTTACCAGAATAAAGTCATAAAATTACGAGAATAAAGTCGTAAAATTACGAGAATAAAGTTGTAACATTGCGAGAATAAAGTCGTAACATTACGAGAATAAAGTTGTAACACTGCGAGAATAAAGTCGTAACATTGCGAGAATAAAGTCGTAACATTGCGAGAATAAAGTCGTAACATTACGAGAATAAAGTAGTAACATTGCGAGAATAAAGTCGTAACATTACGAGAATAAAGTAGTAACATTACGAGAATAAAGTAGTAACATTGCGAGAATAAAGTCGTAACATTACGAGAATAAAGTCGTAACATTGCGAGAATAAAGTTGTAACATTACCAGAATAAAGACGTAACATTACGAGAATAAAGTCGTAACATTACAATAATAAAGACGTAACATTACGAGAATAAAGTCGTAACATTGCAAGAATAAAGTCGTAACATTACCAAATTAAAGACGTAATAATACAAGAATAAAGTCGTAACATTACAATAATAAAGACGTAACATTACGAGAATAAAGTCGTAACATTACGAGAATAAAGACGTAACATTACGAGAATAAAGTCGTAACATTACGAGAATAAAGTCGTAACATTACGAGAATAAAGTCATAACATTGCGAGAATAAAGTCATAACATTGACAGAATAAAGTCGTAACATTAACAGAATAATGTCGTAACATTACCAGAATAAAGACGTAACATTACCAGAATAAAGTCGTAACATTACGAAAAGTCATAAAATTACGAGAATAAAATCGAAATGTTAAGAGAATAAACTCCTAAAAATTATGAGAAACAATTTGTATTTTATGCCAACTCTTACAAGCAGCACTGTCTACCCTAAAATGAGGAATGTGGAGCATCATGTGACGTTACACTTTGGTTCTGGTTTCATCACAAGCGTCAAATTGGGCAGAAGGTCAAAGGCTACGTTCACACTGCAGGCCTTGATGCTCAATTCGTATTTTTTGTGAAATCCGAATTTTTTGCGTTGCCGTTCATATTTCCAAATATATGCGACTTGTATGTGATCTCCTGTGTAAATTGCATTCATACAACACGTGACATCATGCCCAGTAGAGGACGCAATGATATCACAAGCCAGCGTGCTTCGTGTTTACGGAAGCTAATATGGATATAGAGCTGGAGCGCATCTAACGATCTTTCCATACCTTAAAACCTCAATCTTTCCAAGATGGTTAAAGAAAATACTGCTCTCCACATCATCATCCGTCATGGTGTTTGTTTTTCTTGCCGCTTCTGTGTAGCAAGAAGCAGAATGGTGACCTTTGTCGGGTATTAATGGCATTCAGGTTGGATGAATGTGACCTGGTCGTTCAGACACAGGTCACATTTAAAAAGATCCGATTCGTATCAGATTCAGGACCACAGAGCCAAGTGGCCTGGGTCGCATTGGAAAAAATCGGATCTGTGTTGTTCAGACTGTCATGAAAAGATCAGATCCAGGTCGCATATGGGCAAAAAAATCGAATTTGGGTCACTTCAGGCTGCAGAGTGAACGTAGACAAAGTGAACTCAGGTTGCTGATCGGTGGAGCTGGTCGGCCTTCATCTGCTGGTCGCAGCTTGATGCTTTCTTTTTCTGAAACAGTTTATTGTATGATGACTTCATTCTCGTAATATTACAACTTTATACTCGCAATTTTATGACTTTATTGTTGTTATTTTTACGACTTTATTCTCGGGAAAATATATATATATATTAGTGCTGTCAAAATTATCGCGTTATTAACGCGTTAACGCGAGGCCATTTTAACGGCGATAATTTTTTTAACGTGAGATTAACGCTATGTGGTTTTATGGTACAATTTTCCAAGTACATCCCGCTGCAGCCTGCGGGAAGGCGGGGCTATTTTCCCCCAGTCTATGCATTTCTCATAGGCTTCGAGAGCGGACCTCCTCAAGGGAAAAAGACGCTCATACACTGGGTAGCGCTAGTGCCTTTTCTTTAAGCCCCACCACCAACAAACAAGTTGAGTGTCTGGTAACTAGTAGCAACCTGAAATACGCTGAGAAAACAGATTACTGAGGTGAAATGGAATCTGCTACCGCACTCTTGCTGTCTGTGTACGCCACAGGTCGGTATCGTGTGTGTGTGTGTGTGTGTCTGTGTGGGTGGGTGTGTCTGTGTGTGGGTGAGTGTGTGTGTGTGTGTTCTCATTTTTGTTAAGAGGCTGAAAAGTAACTTTCTAGAGCATAGACTACCTTCATCTAGTGGTGTCGGTCTATTGATTTTGATGTATTGATTGAAAATTGTTCATTATTACCTTGGTTAATTAACATCTAATGTTAACTCTACTAAATTTTATAGCAGTAGGGTAAAATGCTTGTCTTTGTTCAAAAGACTGTATTAACTGTAAAGACTGTCTTTTACATCAGCCTGTTTTCAGGGCCTTTTTTTTTTGGCTACATATTTGTTATTTTTTGCTACATGCCTCCCCATCTTCTTGCCATATGTTTCTATGGCATAAATCAGTATCTGTGACCTGTTTTCATTTTAAAAAAAGAACATTGGCACAAACCTAGCCTGTATGTATTTTTTTGTATGTCATCGAGAGTATTTAAATGATTTTCAATCAGGAAAAAAATGTGCGATTAAAATGCGATTAATCGCGAGTTAACTCAGGCATTGATGCGATTAATCGCGATTAAAAAATTTAATCGATTGACAGCACTAATATATATATATATATATATATATATATATATATATATATATATAGCCTGGTTCTAATACTCAGCCATAGTTAATATATTAGAATCTCTTGCCCTGTTTTTTTATTTTATGCTTTTCTGGGCCCCCATGAAAACACCCTGGCCCCCTCTTGGCCCCCTGGTACATTTGGTCTAGATCCGCCACTGATAGGTAAAAACCCAAATATGTATTTCCATAGATGAGCACATTGCGGGTGAGTAAAGTTGTTTAAAGGAGGTGACAGCAGGAGCTGCCTCCTCTTCCTTACCTGCCAGAATAGCCTTCCCCGGATGCGTTAGTTTGGCTTTCCCAGCCGGAGCCGCAGCAGCAACAAACTGCGGTCTGTGAAACGGACTCACAAATCTACTCGATTCGGACATGCTCGCTGTTCCCCCCGGACCTCACTTCAGTTTGTTTTCTTTTTTAAATCAGCACAGACGCAGTTTGGCTGCCGCACACTTCCAGGTCCTCCTGCAGACTAGCTGCTGTGTAGAAATGCGGCGCGGCAGACATCAAAGGACCAGGCACGCGACGGTGACCGTTGGACTCAGGAGTTCATCTTGTCTGTGGACTTTTGACAGCTTCGGTCCCTCCGTGGCACACTTGAAGCTGATAACACTGGCTCATGCAGGGCGGGGCCCGGACGTCACACTTCACCCCACCAACACGGAAAAAAGAAACGCCATGTTTGTTATTTTTAAGGAGGACCAACATTAATCCAACATTCTACCAGCAGAGGGCGTTGTTTCCCATTACCAGAATAAAGCCAGGAGCTTCGCAGCTCATTTAAAAAAAAAAAAAAAAAAAAAAAGAGGAGGAGGACCAGCTTTTATATAAATAAATACTAAATAAATAAATAAGCTTACAATTAATTGCACCCAGAATACTATTAACAAATAAATTTGGGTATTTTTGGGGGCAGTTAATTGTATGCTTACTTATTTAACGTTCACTTATTCATTTTTAAATATGGTAAAGCTGATCCTCCACACAGGAACTATATTATTTGGCTAATAGAAATCCCAGGGATATATCCGAGACATTTTCTCATAACCCTGAAGCTTCTAAGAGAAGCTGCACTACACTTTCAGTCCAGCAGGTGGCGGTAATGAGAAGATTACCGTCACCGTTTACATCGAGTGAGAGTCGATCAGGGTTAGGGTTAAACAAATTAATTGTTTGACATTGAATTAAAAGTAAATACAGAAAACATTTGTGGAGAACGGAAAACAATTGAACTCTACAAAAAAGCACCAATTTGATCAGATAATCATTTGTTTGTAATTTGACGTTATTTGTTCCCTAAAATTTAGGGACCCCTAGTGGGTCCTTGGAGGTACTGCATAGGGTTCACAAAACTTTTGGTTGATTAGACTTTATTTTATATATATACAGAGATGGGAAGTAACGAAGTACAAATACTTCTTTACTGTACTCAAGTAGATTTTTCTGATATTTTTACTTTACTTTACTACTTATTTTTATGGCGACTTTTTACTTCTACTCCTTACATTTTTACACAAATATCTGTACTTTCTACTCGTTACATTTTAAAAAATTGGCTCGTTACTTTAGTTTTGAATCATTTCAATGGAGTTACCGTTATTATTTTTCACGTCATCAATGCCAAATTCAATCTAATTGGATGGGAATCTACGTTGCATTTGACGCACCACTACAAGATGAATCGACAGATTCGGCGGTATTCATTGGCGGCAAATCATTGCAGCTTGGTGGCGGTGGCGTTAGCATAGCAGTATGGACGACGAGATGATTGAAAAAAATGAACACAACCGAGATCTAGTCCTATTGGCAGACATCCATTTAAAATGTAGGCAACAGCATGAAAAAAGTGGTTTCTACTTTTACTTTTATACTTTAAGTAAATTTACAGCCTGTACTTTGTTACTTTTAACTTGAGTAAAGAAGTTTAATCAGTACTTCCACTTTTACCAGAGTATTTTTTAACACAAGTATCTGTACTTTTACTCAAGTACGGACAGTGAGTACTTTTGCCATCTCTGTATATATATATATTCCCCCTGTAGTTTTTTCCAATAATTGAAATGTCTTTAAATCCACATTAACATGAATTCAACACACTGTAGTAAACAGATAAATGGAGGCAGAAGATGTCTTTCAGTCATCAATGCACACATTCAGCGACACACAGGAGCTCTTTCAAGCTGGGCACCGTTTCATTCACAACACCTGTCCCATCAACCAGGAATCAGAATCAGAAATACTTTAATAATCCCAGGGAGAAATTACTTTCATTAAATTAGTCCATCTATAATAGAGTGACTATAGGACCAGTTTGATAATAACACAATTTCATACAATATATATAATTAGGGGTTCCCTGCTCCATCTAGAGGTCCTTGGCCTTGAAAATGTTGGAAGACCCCTGACCTAAATTATAAAAATCTAGTTGTATCTCTGACTGATGTCTCCTTTTTTCTCTTACTGCCCTTTGTGTTTAAGGCTAGCCTGCTTCTGCCTGTCCTTTCTTTATTAAGGCTAATCATTTCAACATAATGAATGAAACATTAAAAATTAGATGTCTCCAGTTCATTAAAGGTTTGATCTTATTTGGTTTGTAATACCTGCAGTACATTTGTATTTTAAAAAGTTTTAAAAGTGATTTTGCTTTTTCTAAATTACATCTTTTGTTATCTTCCTTTCATCAACAGAGTAAAATTATGTTTTAACACAAGTCATTTCGAGTGGAAGGACATCTATATTTATGAAAAAACAAATTTGTTCTATTTTGTACTTATTAGACGATAAAGGCAACATGGAGGATTTTAACAACAAATTACAAGATAGTAATAAAGAATATTCCTAACGCTTCTGTTTAGTCGGTTAACAGTAATTTATCCTACATCACAACTCCAATAAGATTCAAATTAATGGTTATGGACATTTTTGTTTAAAAAAGTAATGATACATTTTCAATTCAATAACTGAGTTTATTTTACCCAAGTAAAGCAAAGAAGAATCTTATCTTTTGAAATGTTGATCAAACAACAACAACTAAAATTATTACTAAATATTTATAAAGTCTAATTCCTTCTAAATATATTTTTAAAAAAATACATTTTAAAGTAATGGAAAACATATATTCCCTTAAAGGAATTCAAAATTATACCTTTAAACATTTTACTTCAGTCTTCTTGTCTTTCAAATCCATAGATATATGTTTGTTTTTCTCATTTCAAGATATACAGTTCAGCTTATTCCTAAAAGAAATAAATAAATAATATAGAATTTATGTACTGGAAAAAACAATCTACAAATAAGTAATAATGTCTTAAATTAAGTGTATTTACCCTTAATTTGAGTAGGTAAATGAGACAGTTTACCAGTGGAATGAGTATTTTTCCTCTTAAAATTAGATAATATGCACTTGAAATAAGACAATGCAATTGCGATTTCTTATTTTAAATGTAAATTGTCTTGTTTTATTGGCAAAATGTGTCTTTTACCTCCTCAATCCAAGAACAAAAACCCTTATTTTAAGAAGAAATTTCTTATTTCAGTTTTTTTCCAGTGTTGTCAATGTTATAATTATTCCAACAAAATACTACATACCGGTATATACAAGTGGGTTTGTAAAATGCCCTCCTTCTTTTCCTGCTTTCAAAAATGAGCAAAATTTGTTCAAGAGGTTTCTGAAAGAGATGCAAAACAATAGTGCAAAAAAGAATTAAACTGGATATTTAATATTGTAGATTAGGTTTTCCTTTTTTTATTTTCCTTTTCTTTTTAACTCTCTGGTTTGTGAATTAAAGTGTCGGTGTGCTTATAGACGAAATCTACTGGGTGGGGGTCATGGTGGGGCCAGTGGTTTTTTTACGGGGGCAGAGAACAAAAGAATAACAGACACATGCAGAAAGAAGCAAGCGAGAGCATATAGTTTTCTATAATGAGTGAACCACAGCGCCAAAATTGCAGACTCTTCATCTAACAGATGCATCCTATCCTAAAGCTGACCAGAGTTTATAAATAAAGTCAATCAATCAATCAATGTAGATTCCAAAAACAAAATAATAAGTTGGTACAAGGGAAGAATCAGTAATAGTTTCTTCTATCAGAGCTATCATAAGAAATTGATTTTATATTGTTATCTCACATTGGAGAAATCTACCTCTGTATTTAACCCATCCCCTTGGAGAGCAGTTGGCTGCCATCATGGGCCCCCCGGAAGTGGTGTGGGGTTAAGGGCTTGCTCAGAGAGCCAGAGTGGCAGTCTGTGGGAGTGGGGCTCGAACTCAGAACCTCAGTATTCCAAGCTTTACGCCCTAACCACTAGGCCTCCACTCCCCTACAATGCAAAGACTAATCTAAAAATGAACAGTTCTTAAAAGAAGTCAATATGTTCTCAATTAGAGTAGATCTGCTCAATTAACAAAAAATATATTCGATATTGAATAATTAAGTAGCTTTTTTCTTATTTTAAACATAAATCATCTTATTGCATCTTCTTATTGTCTTAATTCTTTAAATCAGGGGGAAAAGAACTTATATATATATATATATATATATATATATATATATATATATATATATATATATATATATATATATATATATATATATATTTATATATATATATATATATATATATATTTTTTTTTTAACACAAGAGTTGAAGTCGTAGTTATTCTTTATGTTGACTAACAATCCTTCTTAGTTTATTATTTTGTAAAACTAACCTGCTCTCATTAAGCAGTCGGAGCAGCCGCAGTGCGCATGCGCAGCGGCAGTCTCCTTCATCGTGTCTTGTTAGCATCGCCTAGCTCGGCTAACTGTCAATCCTCTCAGCAGCATCACGCCAGGGACGCTGCAGGCTCTGCGGACTACTGTCGCCTCTGCTGCACTGGTGAGAAGCCTTTACCGCCGCGAATCAACCTCAAATACTCCACACAGCTTTGAAATATGTATTTTATCACCACATTCCGCGGCCGTTTCTAGTGTTAGCCGCAATTGTTCCTAATTGTGCCGTAGCGCAATTAGCTAACGGTCTCCGTTATGCAATGATGCTGAGCCATGGAAAGAACAGCCTAATCCCTGTATGGTGGCTTTTCCACCTTTTAGTGCAAACAGTTAAAAGCGACAGTCAGCCATGGGGGTGGGGGTCTGGTGTGACCGGCAGCAGTGTCAGCTAGCAGCCCCTTAGGTTCCTTAGGTTAGCCCTGAACTGGCCCATCTGCTGTCCTTTGTCCCCCAGCAGAGAGGCTTCATTAGTTCAGGAGCTTTCATCTCTCAACCTCTATCCAGCTGTGGTGCTGAAGGTTTACCTGCTCTCAGTTCCTACGCTGACAAGAAGGCCATGAAGTTAAGATGAAGCCGGTTCCTACTTTAGAAATAGGATAAAAATAGTCTTTCTTATGTGTCTCATTGTTTAAAGGTTACATCCATCCAACAACTTTCTGTCCTTTCTTTGTCCTTCATCTTTCCTTCCTCACCAGCCACCTACCCTCATCTGTCCTTGTTCCTCTCTTCCTTCTGTGTTCTCCTTTTCAACCCTCAGTGGATCCATTTGTCTATTCTTTTATATACTTGCAAATGCATTGGGGTAATGGATCCATTTCTTCCTTACAACCATTCTTCACTCTTTCTACACATAA